AGCAGGAGAGACAGTAGACAGAGAAATGCATGGCTAAATATAGGGAACCTCACCTTCATTTTTATCTATTTTATTGATCATCCTCCGGAGTGGCTCAATGTATTTTGATAGCTGTTTGAGTTTTTCCAGATACTGTTGCTCCTCTGACTGACCAGAACTGGCTGGACTCATGACAGAATTTGGATTTCCTGGCAAGAAGGAAGACTGCACATTACAGGGATGACAAAGGATACTGCAGAACAGCATTCTCACATTTCAGAATCTAGATCTGAAACGTGTGGCTCATTTCAAACACCCAAATCCACAATGGGATGCCCTCCACAGTTTAAGTGCTTGCCCAACCCTCTAGTCTTTGTGCAGAAATAAGGTGTTCTATGGACAGAACCATTTCATACGATTTGTTTCTGTAAAGTTCCAAAGTTCCATATACCCATTTTCTAGGTCCTCATTTTGACTCCACTCTGGTCATCAAACATTAAATCAACATGAGGAATTTGCTGCAGTTTTCCTTCAGTGGGTGCTTTCCAGACTGCAAAGCACACAACAATGGTATTGAGAAGGAGACAGTGTGTTACCTCCATTCACAGTATCAGAAGGGCACAAGAGTCCAAGAGTCAGAGTACACCTAGGAAGGTGTTTTGGAGCAAAGCAGCCTCCTCCCTGTGATTAAATGGTTACATCCTTTACAACTGCATACTGTTGCTAAGGGTTCCTTCCTGCATGGAAGTAAGGAACCATTATGCCTCTAGACACTTGCTCCAGTAAATTAAATACCATTCTTTTTTCGAAAGATTGGGGAAGTTAGAAAAATCCATTACACACTTCAGTGATGAGAACGGTGATTTCAATTGATTTTGATTTGAGATATCCATGCCATTGTGTTATGTGGTGCATGTGACGTGTTCACTGCCTGCAATGCCAGCTGCTTTGTAGAGCTCTTTAAAACTTGCATCGTGCCCAAAGTAACAGGCTGTCTGGGAACTATTACAGTTACAGCTTTGCAGTATAGCTCTGGGATCATTTACCTGGAGTGTTTAAAGGACCTGGGGATGGGACACTGAAGTTCTGAGGTGTTCGTGCAGCTGCTGGGCTCTGGGAGGGTTGTGGAGATGGACTGGGAAGGAAGCTGCTGGGTGATGGAGCAGGGCCAGAGCTGAAAAATAAGCATAAAATCAAACCTGCCAGAATCTGACGAGGAAGCATTATCAGCCTGTATGCAGATATGATTTGAGTAAGCATTGTTATGGCAGTCTAGTGCCAGTAGGCTTGGTGAGGATTTCATATACAGCTTCTTTATGTAAAATGGGAGTTTTCAAAGTGTGTTCGGTACAAATGTGCTCTCAGAGCAGCTGATATTAAAATTCATTCACTTTAATGGAAACAGAGCAAGATATAGTGAAGCCTTCTAAAAACCTCACCCTGGTGGCGCTGACAAAGGTCCTTTAAAGTTGCAGCCTTGCTCACCTGACATTTGAGTTTGGCTGAGAAGTTGGCTGGCCTGGCTGAGGAGATGGCTGCGGCTGTGGTGGTGGAGGCATTGACTGGGGTGTTTGAGCTTGTTGGACAGGAGATGGGGATGACATCATGGTCATATTGTTCTGGCTGACCTGAAATGTGGGAAAAGATAAGATCAATAACAACAAAAGGCAGCAGATGATGGGAACCTATCTAAAAGGCTTTACCTGTGGAGGAAAGTGCATCCTCAGGCCTAAAAGAAATTAAGTGTTAGTTTCCTTTCGTCCCCATAAAGATAGTCCCACCTGTACCACTCTTGAGGCTCTCAGGGCAGTACTTCATGTCAGCTTCACTAGAAATAACTGTTAAAACTGCACATAATTTGAATAACTGCATAATAATTGTTTTTCACTTCCCAAACCACCATCTTGCAATTAAAATGTCAAAAGAACCATACTTCATTAGAACTAGAGAAGAGCAGGAAGAAAAGACAGTTAAGAATTAAAAGGCATAAAAACTCCTCCTTATTTTGACATTTTAATCAGTCTTCAAAGGTCTGTCAGACTTGACTGTAGCTTCCCAACTGGTTTTCTTTAGGAAGAAGGAAGAAACAAATTAAGTAAGCCAAATCACCAACACTGTGTTTAAATATCTGAAAATCTGTTTGGAGATAGGAACACTTCAAACTGAATGACTGGGTGCTAAAAAAAACCCCAAGAAGTAGCTTTCTGACCATTGGAGAACACTGAGGTTTGCCTAAAGGACAAAAAGACAAGTAAGAGCATTTCCAGAACAGCCTCAAACTCTGGGTAACAACTGAGTTTTTACAGCACACAGTGCCAGAGCCAGATGGCACTGAAATCTGAGCAACATCTTACATTTGTTCTAATAGATATTTTTCTCCTTGATCACTTAAACCCAAACAAGAAAACCTGTACAATGGCCAGAGGCATGGTATAGCAATGCAGGCAGTAAGAGATGTTTAAGGCACATGCAGAATTCCTATGACCTGAGGCTATAAATATGTGTATACGAAGAGATTATTGTGGCCCAGTAACCCATGTGTCCATTCTGCAAGTCACTTACTAGCACCTTTATGAATTAACAACTCTGTTTCCCTCAGCCTAAACTATTTTTAAGCAAAGGTCCCAGTAAATCCACAAGTCCCTGACACTTCTTATTAAGAACTGCAAAGATAGGACAAAGGCTAACAGGTTCAAACTGAAGGACAGGAAGCTTAGGTTGGATATTAGAAAAACGTTTTTTTCCTGTGAGGGTGGTGAGACACTAGCACAGGTTGCCAAAGGAAGCTGTGGCTGCCTCAACCCTGGCAGTGTTCAAGGCCAGGCTGGATAAGGCCTTGAGCATCCTGGTCTAGTGGGGAGGTGTTCCTGCCCAGGGCAGGGGGTTGGGACAAGATCTGTAAGGTCCATTCCAATCCTAAAATTCTACGATTCATGGCCACTACTATTTGGTCTTTTCCTTCACTCTTTTGTTAAATATCCATATAAACTGTCCAACTGTATCTAGAGGACATGATATGTAGCATATTGAAAAGTAAGTATTGCATGGCCTACTTTTGCATGTACACACCAAACAGGACAGGAAATGCTTTCCTTGGAAGATCACATTGCAACTATGCAAGAGGCCACTCTCCACAATGAAAAAAAAGGGGTCCAAACAATCCCCAGCTCAGTGCGTGTGCAAAGCTATTAAACTTAAAGATATTAGTTTATCATCCATTAAAGAATAGTTTAAAATCAACTGCAGCCTGACATACTATGGGTTTTTTTCAAGCTTGAGTAGCCTCAGTACCTTCACAACCTCTCTTCCAAAGATAACACCTAGTACAAGTGAGGCTGAAATAATGTTTTAAATCAGCTATTATATCTTTTTTTCATAATTAACAAGGACCGAGACTGCACCTAAAAGCACATTCATGGAGAGCTATTACAGCCCACTGAATGTGAATTTGCTCTGTGACACTACAGTGACCTAACCGTGACACCAAGCCCTAATTTTCTGAAGTCTTGCCCAGAAGGTATTTAGGCTTGCATGACAAAAATTTGCATTTATATCCACTAAATCAAACTTATGCTTAGTGTTCAGAGCACACTATGCTGGAAGATAAACCTGTCCATGAGGCCTACCTCCAGTTTGCTCAGAGTCTCAGGCAGGGAGCAGCACTCCATAGATAAGGCTAGTGAGAGCTTTCAGAACTTCCTGGGAGCAAATGTGCAATATGCAAGAAGCTAACAGCAAGGAAAGGGAGACCCCAACAGGGAAGTGATGGGGAATAATGAGGAACAGTAGAAACACTTTTAGCCTAAAGGAAAACTCTAGAAAGCCTTTACACAACTGTACTTAGAGGTTCAGTGTAACGCTAGTAAGCACAGCCTTACCTATTCTGTTGATGACTGGGGTTAAAGTTCACCATTATGCTGCTTTACATGACAAAATGAAAACTCTGCAGAGCTTCAGGTAAGTTCAGGTACAGGTTTCCATATTCCCAGTCAGGCCACTATCCCTTGCTTTATTTTAGTGTTAACTCAGTTATACTTTTCCCCCTGTATTTTCAATTTGCTGAAGATTTCTGTGCCAACAATAAGTTGAAAATACATACTATTGCAGACTGCAATAAATTTGTAGGCAGAGCTTCAAGGTTTTGACACTAGAAAGACAGGAGAATGACTGGCACATTAATTACCTAATTGCTAAAGCAAAAGCTAAGTATTAGATTAGTTTAATCTTTTAAAATTTAAAGATCAGCAGGTTTCTTGAACTAATCCAATGATATATGAAATGTCTCTTAGACATCAAGGAGTGCCACTAATATTGATTACAGCTCATGTTGGGTAACTAATCAGGCACAAATAAAACTTCAGCTAATTTTAAAAAGCGCCATTTCAAATTCTCTTGCAATTCAAAAGACCAGATGATTGGGGAACACAATGCCTTATTAGTACATGTATTTTTTTGATGGAAAAGACTGTAATAGCAAAAAACCCAACCAAATAAACTCATTGCAGAATCAACTGAGCCTTGTGATATGAAAGGACAGACTGTTTTGTCATACAGGACAAAAATAAATAGCCACATGGTACTGACATCACATCTAGTCCTTCTGTTGAAGGCATTCTGCAGTGCAATACCAATATTATTTTCTAAAGAGAAAATATACTCTGAACTACCTATCACCATGTCTAAATGGATTTTCATACTATACTCAAGGAGATGACACTCCTCAATGTGTAATTAAGAACTAAGTAAATGCTACAGCCTTTTACTCCTATTGTGAACAGCTGCAAGGGCTCTGATGACAAGGAAGTTATATCCAACAGACAATATCATTTAAGCATTTTACAAAATTAAGAGGTGTAAATGGCAACATTTCTAATTTCTCATCTACCTACAACCTGAACAACATGTTTTGGCAGAGAGTACTAGAGTTTCACACTGATCCAGGGCTGTCAAGTACATGGCATTTCAGACTGGCAGTATGATTCTAGCCACCAGTAACCCATGACTCACTCACTCTCCTACCACCTGCTTAGGAATCATTTTCACTCCAATCATTCATGAAAAATTTCTTTTCTTATTCTGCCTTCTCTAGTTGTTCCCTTCTACATCATTTTCACAATCCTTGGCATGCTACTGAGAGCACCCCTCGATGATCAGTTCACTTGGTGTCAGAAATCAAAGGTCCTTGACAACAACAGACATGGCAGCACTAAAAGATCAGCTTATGGCACTGAATGCTTGAACTAGGTCTTCTGTTATGAGTCAAACATTAAATATAAGTGAAACTAATGTTTAAATAGCCATCGGACATCCTCACCCTCAAAGCAAACATTGTGAATGCTTCACATGGGAGATGATTGTCCCAGGATATATAAACTGCTACAGCAACCAAAGCTCAAAGTAAATTCTCCTCTGACTCAACAGGGCTTTTGTCAGTTAACATATAAACACTGTCCTGGATGGAAATGACCATCCATCTTAAACCAGAAACAACAGATGTGCTTGCCTAGGACTGCAGAATCTGTCTGGTCATTCCAATTACCTTTGCAAATTCCTGAGAAGAAATGCAGTACTCTGACCTCACACATTTTCCAGGAACAGCTAGACAGGTGCTGCCCTTCTACTACACAGGTGGTTCTCTGATGCAGGTACAAGTGGAATCCTTCAGGCAGTTCCTCCTACACAAACATGCTCTTTTTTTTTCTGGGTGCCTGATATTGTGCCAGGAAGCTACTCAAACTGAAATGAGCCAAGTTTACTAGTAATGAAAAAAGCATGAACACAAGATAAGCAAGGTCCTGGACAACTCAGCCAGTACACTGCAGTACTGACTTGCAACGTTCATAAACGCAGACTCAGAGTATGGACAAAGACTAAACAGACACCACAGAGCTCTAATTTGAGACTTGAATCAATTCTGAACCTGGAAAAATTTCAAACATTAAAATAAAGATCTACGCCACTTTAAAAATGCTTTATTTGATATCCCAAGCTCTCAGAAAACCAGTTATTTAAATGAAAAAGGATTCATAAAAAACCAACCTAAACAGCCCAACACCCTGAGTTAACACCAGCAAGTTAGTTGTTTGATGCAGAAGTGAATGTCCCCTTGCTTGATAGCCAGTGCTACACAATCAGCATTGAACGCTCAATTCCTGACACAATGTGCTGTGAGTCAGTAAATACCTGTGGCATTTGCTGTCCGCCCAAAGGAATGGAGCTTGGCGGTGTAGCAGACACAGCGGTGGTAGGCGGGAACCGTGGTCTTATTTGCATCCCACCTCGGGCCATAGGTGCGGTGATCATCTTTGGGGACAGAGGGACAACAGACAAAAGTAATCGCAAAACAAGAAATGCAGTGCACTGGCAGGATGAGAAGCACATGCAACCTCCAGGAATTAGGGGGAAGGGGAGCATGAAGGGAAGGTTAGTGAGCTTTTCTCTAAAGGTTAACCTAACATGCTAGGCTTAAAAACCAAACTCTTTATACCCTGTCTATTCTCTTCAGAAAGCATCTAATGAATTCTAGGCATCTTGATACATAGACTCAGATTCAGGGGTCAAGGGTTAATTATATATATTTCCATGAAGGGCTTTCCCTAAATTTTGCCTAATGTCTTGAATTTCTAGAATTCTTGGAAAGAAGTACTCTAAGACTGTTGTCAAGAATGCTCCATATCAGAAGCTCTGTAACGCCACAGGTTTCTGATGTGCTGTCCCCCACTGTGGACTCAAAGGGTTTAGCAGTATTTGCATATTCCTCCTTCATTATAAACCAATTTGTCAGACAGTTCAGCAGCAACTGTCAGTGCAAATGCTCCACAGCGAGCAAAACTGCAGACCAGCCTAACCTGTGACAAGGTAACAATGCTAAAGACAACAAAAAGGATTTCTGGGTTTAAAAGAGCTATTTCCTTCCTTTTATAACCCACAGAATAAGTCCACGATATCCATTTAATTTCCATAATTTTGACAAATAACCATTTCTCTATTATTAAACTGTACTAAATTGTTCAATTATGAGTTTGTAATCTGCCTCTTATTTATGCAGTTTGATTCTCCAGCTGTATAGTCTGAACATACCCTAAAGTCCAACCATTTAGGATAAATGATGAAGGTTAGCACTAGAATTATAAAATAGTATTACGACTATGCTCCTCTGAAGTGTCTAGAAACACCTTTCAGAACCATCAATGTGCATGAGCCACACAAATTTCATTACATGTGTATCTGTATAGCCCTCTGTTACTCAGAATTTGATGTTCCACCATATATGCTGAGAATTTACAACAAATAGAGCATATTTTTCAGCTGGTATTAGGCAACTTCGGCAGATTCTCTTCTCAGTAAAAGGGCTTCTCTGTTTGGTACT